TCCCAACTCATTTCCCCTTCAATAATTCAATCGTTCGTCTTTCTTTTCCTCGATTCATCATCTTCAAATAATTCACCCTCAACAATATATAAGTAGGTGCAGTGTGCCGTTCCTCTTTAATAGAAACTATTATAATCCCAGGATCAAGGATCCGGCACCTCTTTCACAATCGTCAAGATCGAGTACAAAATTTAATCTCTGCATGCAAAGTGAGAAAATTCTTCCTTCTTTTTGTGTTACTTTTTATTTTGCTTAGACTATGTAGTATATAGTGGTTTATAATGATGCCCTTTTAAGATAAACGGTGAAATAACTATTAGAAGAATTAATTATAGACGTATTTACTTTGCTTCATGAATTTATTTATTTATTTTTTTGGGCGGTGATTTTCTAGGGTTTTGCCGTTTTGGTTAATGCGTTGGATATACGATTTATTAATAATCGGAAATGGTTGTTCTTCTAAATTGGAATCTTTATTATTTAACTGATGGAAAGTATCGGTAATCACCTTACCAGAGGGACGATCATAAGGTGGAAGTGCGAGTGCCTACTGACTAAGAAGTCTGCCGGCCTTTGCTGTCTGACTTGTGGTTTCCTCTTTTATCTAACTGATAATTATTTTGGGGGTTTTACTCTGTCCTCTTTTAGTTGGATTGCCTTATCATGTTTAAGTTGAAGAGAGTGTTCGAAATTTGCTCAAGGCAAAAATTTTAATAGAAAGAACAAGAAAGTAATTATGGTCGACATGTTTAGGAGTTTGACCTGATACATGTTTCTCATGTAGAAGTCAGTGAAATTTGTCTACTCGCGTGGTATGTTGGATGAAGGATACCACCTGCATTTTGTTCAATTTTATGGTCATCACATGGAATGTTATGAGCCACACATGGACCGACGTGCAGCGATGTGGTTGATTATGGATTCAGTGAACTTGTAACATCGATGATATCACTGATACGTGCATTGAGTTGCCTTTTTTAAAATAAAATTTCCTCAGCTTGTTCAGTACCAGTCATATTGTCATTTAGGCGTAGTAAATCTTGTGGTTCTTATTTTGTGGAATTAGGAATGAAGAGGACAACATATTACAATGATGCTGCTCAGATGCAGGAGCAGTGGCCTATTAAGAAGGCACTCACCCTCTCTGATGTCGATATTACTCATCCATTCTTGACATTGTCCCGGCAACAAGTTGAAACTCATATTCTTGTGTATATGACACCTCAGCAGCAGGAAGATCTAAGTACCAATGGCCAAGTGGGCTTTAATGCCCAAGATGATGATACTGGTGATGTGTATGTGATGAAATTGAAGTGGCGTGGGAGCTATTATAATCTCATTGGCAAATGGGGAAAAGTGATACGAGGAAAGGGACTTGATGTTGGGCAAGAAATTAAGCTGAAGTGGTTTAATGGATGCTTACACTTTTCAGTTCCAGAACAGCAGGTTATTGCAGTTCCCCCAACTCGAATGGTTGCGGCCCCCCTAGTGCAGGACCACTGGCCTATAAAAAAGGTCCTGACATCGTCAGATGTTGATACTAATCATCCTTTTCTCCCATTGCCTCGTAGATCTGTGGAAGATCATATTCTTGTGCATTGGGTGCCACAAGAAAGAGAAGAATTGAGAAAGGAAGAGCAGGTGTCAATAAATGCACGAGATTATGATACAAGTGATATTCATGTAATGAAATTGAAATGGCGAGGTAATTACTATAATCTCATTGGGGGCTGGGCAAATATCATTCGACAGAAAGGACTTGGCATTGGTCAAGAAATCAGATTGCGCTGGGCAAATAATTGCTTGTACTTCTCAGTTCTAGCGGAGCAGTATGTCTCAACAGCTTCTGGACATGATAATTGGCCTATCAAGAAAGCGCTCACATTGTCTGATGTGGATACAAATCATCCATTCCTTACTTTGCCAGGAAAAGCAGTTGAAGATCACGTACTCTTGTACTGGTCACAGCAAGCTCGGGAACAGTTGAGGAATGAACATCAAATTCGCATTAATGCTCGGGATGATGACACGGGTGATCTATATGCAATGAAGTTGAAATGGCGCAGGAGTTACTATAATCTTATTGGCAAGTGGGGCAAAATCATTAGAGAGAAGAGACTTCAAGTAGGAAGAGAGATCAGAGTGCGTTGGGACAACGGATGCTTGATCTTCTCCGTTCTTGGGTGATGCATTTATTTTGTGGAGATAGGTAGAAGCATCTCCTAAGCAATTGTGATTCTTAATTATTTATCTATTTTATATGTAGGATTTTCCATTTTATA